TCTTTTGATAGCGGGCACCATCAGTTTTCTTCACCACATTCGCTTATGCATGTCTTCAGCGATCATGTCAGGAAGGTGAGCATCACAGAATGCCGAATTGTTAGAACAAAATGTTCTTGTGTTAAGGGAGTACTTGAGTTGAGGCCCAATGTCTATCTGCACCTTAATTCTTAACATATAGATATGAGGACATAGTTCTATTCCCCTCTCATTGTATACATATTTACATATGTACATACCTGTATTTAGGCCTCCTTAAATGTCCTTTGTCACCTGGTTCTTTCCTTTATTTCCTTTTTACTTCCTTCTTGTCTCACCATCATGTTCAGCCTTCATTCGGGTTTAATAATTCCTCACTGCTGCATTGCCCTTGATTGAGCCCCACTAGGTATACTACGATCTTTCTTCCACTGATTTTAGTTCCCTTGTCCCTGGGTTGACCCCTCCCTTTCCTTTCTCCCACCTCCCCTTCTCCCGTATCCCCCCAGAACCATTTATTCCGTTCTTCTCATCTCCGAATTATTTATCCCACCTATCTTATCTAGAAAGACATGCAGATACGTTAATAAGTACAAAAACCCAGCAAAGCCAAATAAAACAAAGAAGTCAAAACCAACAAAACAATAACAACAGCAGAAAGCAAGAACAAAATAACAATAGCAAAAAGAAAGCCATGACAAAAATGGAAAACCCTATAAATAGTTCAAGGTCTGTTTGTTGGCCTTTACAAATGTTTTCCAGTCGAGTCTGATGGGGTGCCACACTCTGTCTCCCAAGTCTGTTTTGGTATTCTCCAGGGATTTCATCACTCTATTCCCCCTGTTGCTCTGCTGCAGTGTCTCAGTGTCTCGCCCCTGCGTGATGGGGCCATAATGTGCACTATTCCCGCACTGTGTCTCCAGTGCTGTACCCGGCAGCATCATGGTTCAGTGAAGGATGCCGTGTCCTGTGGTGGGGCCAGCCTTACGGTCTTCCCCCTGCGTTGTATGTTCCAAGCAGGAACATTGTCTTTGGGGGTTGGTGGGCCAGGATGGCCTCTCCTCCCTCTTCATCCCTTTGCGTTTCTCCTGTGTGCTCTAATCCAACATGCCCCTCTCCATAAGCTGAAGCCCCGGTGCTGTCCCCTGAAGTGCATTCTTCTGAGCTGAGGATGGGGGTGTTGTCCACATAGTTGGGATTGGGGTTGGCCCTGCAGACCTCTCTGTTGGTTCCCTGGTACGTGCTGGTATGTTGTATTCACGTCTTGGAGCATCAGGTTGAAGCTTGGTCTCTCTCCTCTTGTAGAGATGTAAAAAATACCCTCCCCTTGGGCGGATTAGTGCCCTGCTACCTCCCTAATGCATGTATTTTTTCTCTCTCTTTCTTTCCTCTTTTATTTAGTTGGCTGCCATATGTATCACTGGATTGGGTTTGGCCTCTGCCATAGTTGCTTGACCTTACCCCAGGGATGTATGTATATAGTAGCTTTCCCCACTCCCCTGTTCTGTTTTGGTTTAAGCTTACCTCAGTGAACTCATGTTGTGCTCGACTTATTTCACTTAGCATGCTGTCCTCCAGTTCTTCCCATGTGGCAACGTGCTTCATGCCTCCATCACTGCATTTTAGGGATGCGTTGTCAAGGAATAGAAATGGATTCTTACATAGGAAGCAGAGACAAGATCTAAGTGTAGATAATTAGAAAGGGATGAAATCAAAGCGTAGAAACTCGTTGCAGCAAATATTATGTGTCCCCACACTGGTTTGTAGGTTGGTTGTTAATTGAGCATATCAGATTTGCTTAAAAGTATAGAGACAGGTCACCAGAAATTGAGTAAGTTCACGGTGAAAAGACAGTGACTACCTAGTGTCGGGGGTTTAAGTGGAGAGAAAATGTTTTGAGAAACGATGTGCAAATGTGCTTTACACAATTGATGTGTGTGTGGATTGGGATAACAGTTGTATGAGCCCCTAATAAAATGTTTAAAAAAAAAAAAAGACAGTGACTATAAGAGCAAGAAATGAAACATTTCTATAAGAAAAGTGACAACAGAGAGATGTCTGACGGGATTATATGAGTGGGCTTCAAAAGTTCATGGAAAAATGTCATTTTAAAAAATTCATTTTTTTCATTTAATTTTCCTACACTTTTTGAAGCTCCCTCGTGTAACATAACATTTTTAACTAGGGCCAGGTTGATTGAGATAAATGTGAAATTGTGAATATATACTTGCTAATAAATTATACCCTGACATTTTTTTACATTATAGTAGAAAAGAGTGAAACATTTGAACAGATATTCTAAATGGATAGGAGTCTGTGGCTGTTATATGGAAAAAGTACTACAAAAAGGGAAGAGAATGAGGAAATCTTATAACAAAAAATTCCAAACTAAACCCACTGCTCTTGAGTCTGTTTCGACTCATAGCAACCCTATATGAATACAGGTCTAAATATATAGAAGAAAAATGTCTCCCTTTTGAATCCAGTAAGATGAAAGACAATTATTAATTGTAAAGCCAGACCATCCTTCTCTGAGAACGATCTACTGAAGAGCTAACTGGGAAATTCTCCAGTGCTTCACAGTCCCCCTTCAAAAAATTTGTACATATTAGACATTGTTGTTGTGGGGTACTAAAACGATCATGTGTGTGACACCTTTAAGTCGTAAAATGCCATACAGAAGAGCAAAAATAAAACTCGCTGCCATGGAGTCAATGCCGACTCATCATACCCCATAGGACAGGGTGGGACTGCCCCTGTGAGTTTCCAAGACTGTGTATGGAAGTAGAAAGCCCAGCCTTTCTCAGAGTGGCTGGTGGTTTTGAACTGCTGACCTTTGGATTGCAGTCTAACAGCAACCACTGAGCCACCAGGGGTCCTAAAGTACCATACAGATGTTAATAATTATGTCCTCAAAATCCAGTGTCATCCATGGTTCTTTTAACCCAACGATTTTCTCCTCTGATTTCTATGTGTTTACTAATAGTATCACTTCTTTCAGTCTCACACTAATTCCAACTCTTAGGAATTCTTCAGGGTTTTTTGCAAATGTCACCTCCTTCATGAAGCCTTTGCTGATTTCTCAGCAACCGATGTACTTTTTCTTCATTTTATCTTTCCTCTCCCCTGGCCCCGTTGCACTGAATTTGAGCTTTTTAGTTTAGTTTTGTCTTGTCTTTTGCATGCATATGTTTCTATTATAACACCACATATGTGTTCCTGAAAAGCCTTACATTTGGCAAAATGATGTACTAAAAATAATGGCTATGAGGAAAAATAGAGTTACAAGCAGACCACTGAAAGCCTGTATAACTTTGTAATCAGAGCCCTACAAAAAATGATAACAATCTTTGATAACAAATGATAAAATATGAGCACAATTAAATCTCTGCTGGCATTCGCACCTAAAAACAAATCTCAGTCTGGCCTTTGCAACCTTATTCTTGGGGCTCCTGTTTTTTGCTTCAAGGTCCTGGAAAACATTGGCTTCTCACAGACAGTAGTTTCATCATAATAAAAAATACAGGATAAGCATGGTGGCCTTCTTGATCAATTCGTTTGTTGTTGTTTGTTCTGCTCCTTACCGCAGATAAACTTGCACTCGCTCTTACCTAGAGGAAAGAACAGCAGTTCTTACAGCCACAGAGCCAGCTACTGCAGGATTTTCATTTTTCTTAATATATTGCTAAAGCGTCTTTAATCACAAGCAACTCTGTCCATGGTCTCTTCCAAATATGTATATCCTGGAAAAATTACATAGGCACTTTCTGGGTTGAGCTGACACCATACTCATATTATCGATCCCTTGGAGCTTTATGGCAGAATAGACTAGTTTCATCGCCTTCCTCTCCCTTTGCCTCTGAGCTCATTGAAGATGGAAAGCAGTTTGAACTCAACTCTGCAAACCCTAAAGTGCCTGGCATGGTGCCTTATGCTTAGAGGGTGCTCAAAATGCAGATGTGGCTTGGATCAGATTATGGGTTCTGCTACATAATAAATATAAATCGTTACTATATAAAGAGCCCTCAATCTGAAGACTGGCAAAACCTGAAATTTCTTCTGATTCACTTTGTTGTCAGTACCTGCCATCATCAAGTTCAAACACTCAATTTAGAGATTAGTCACTATTGCAGCTGATGTCGCTGCACACCATGCTGCGTCGTCCTGCTGCTTCTTGTGCTTCCTAGAGATTTCGCTCCATCCTCCTATATAAAAAGCTATCTAAAAAAGTAAAAACAAACGGTTATCACCCACCCGCAAAAGAAACCAGAAAGATCTCTTGCTCTTCAGTGCACTAATGTTTTGGCAAGAACATGAAGACCTACATTTCTGTTTGATACTTCTAAGGTAAATGAAGGTTAATATTAAATGTCTTGATTCTGGGACAAAAAAAAAAAGTTATCAACTTGCCTCCATTTCCCTGGTCGGTCACTGGCACTAAGAGAAAGGAGTAGAGTTTCATAAGTCAACTGGTCAGTTCTTTGTATGCTCTATTGTTAGAAGTGGTAGAAATAATGTTGAAAGGAAATTATAATTTGGTAATTGGAAATGAAAAGAGAAACTATGCATAGTTAAATTCGTATTTGCTTTACAGCCATTACAATGAGAATGTTTTCCCCTCATTTAAGTCTTATCTTGGGCAAAAGACATTTAATTTACTGTACTTGAGGCAGCTACTAAACATCTGACCTGTATACTGCCATCATAGTAGTTTCAGTTATGAACTCAGACGTCTCACTGACATTCAAGAATTATTAGGTCTCAGACATCATGAAGGAAGCCTGGTGAATAGTACACACTGGGCTGCAAACCACAGCGTTGGCTGTTCAAAGACGAGACTCTACTCCCATACAGATTTAGAGCCTTGGAAAACTGCAGGGCAGTTCTGCTCTGCCCTGTAGGGTTGCTATGAGTCAGAATGGATCTAATGGCCATAAGTCTGGACTTGGAGTTTTTGAGGCATTGCGCAGCAGATCACTCGACAGGGATGGGGAATAAGTAACAGTTCTCTCTTTCTTCAGAATGTAAAGAGGCTCCTACAGAACCCCAAGGTGACAGAGTTTGATGCTGTTCGTCTGGTGATGCTTTATGCTCTGCATTATGAGAGACACAGCAGCAACAGCCTCCCAGGACTGATGATGGACCTCAGGAATAAAGGTGTTTCCGAGAAGTATCGAAAGGTAACAATTTATACAATAAGCCCACCAAACAGGAACCAACTCCATTGTTATATTCTTACCTCTGACAGATTATTAATCACAGGAATGTGTAGTTCTGCCCTCTAATGCTTTCATTACCCAAAAAACCCGCATTTTCTTAATGAAATGAGCTTTCTGACCCCCAAGCAGTAAAAGGATGCTTCTCTTATTTTCATAGCTGGTGTCAGCCGTTGTGGACTATGGTGGTAAACGGGTCAGAGGCAGCGATCTCTTCAGCCCCAAAGATGCTGTGGCTATTACCAAACAGTTCCTCAAGGGATTGAAGGTATAGTTTTAAAGGAGGAACAGTTGATGCCCTTGGGTCTGTAAGTGAATGAATATGATCTTCAAAATTTTTTCAGGATTGTTGCTGATTGCATACTATGTCAATTAAGTGAAATTAAAGCAGACAGCCTCTTGAAAGCTTTTTTTTCTCTTTAAATACTTTATATAATTGAGCAGTGACAACATTGGACCCAGTAGATGAGTTGGAACTAACTAGAGATACCCAGAAAACAGCCCAAGAGTAAAAAGGGCAAATAGGTCTGTGTAGTCACAGCTGTTTTACTTCACGTGTGTATCATTAGAGATTTGTAAGGTAATTTATCTTTGGAGGAAACTAAAGATGAAGCACACAACTAAGACCTTTAACAAATATTAACCTGTTATCATTTTAATGTTTAGCCTTCTTGGTTCCTGAAAATGTTACATTTTCCTGAATGTTCCCAATCTATTTTCCTACATGGGCCTTTCTTTTTAGTTACTGTACTTGCCATGTAAAACCCACAAGAGGGCAAGAGTTATGAAAAGATGATAAAGAATTTACACAAATTTCATTTAAAAATTTTTTATGGTAATAGCTTTAAATTGGGGAGTATTTTTGTAAGATTGGAACATTGCTGGGTGATGAGAATAATTTTTTTTTGAGAATAATTTTATATCTCCTAAAATTTCTATCTGAATTTATCCTATAAAACTTCTATTGAAATTTTTCTGATATGAACTACATTAATTGTTATATCGAAAGTTTCCCCAAAATGATAAGAGGAACATCTTGCTCTGTCTTAGGGAGTAGAAAATGTATATACGCAGCATCAACCATTCCTACATGAAACTCTGGACCATCTCATCAAAGGAAGGCTTAAGGAAAACCAATATCCTTACCTAGGCCCCAGCACACTCAGAGACAGGTAAGCAAAAAAATATATATATATGAATAATAGACCCTAAAAGAGTAAAATAAAAACAATAGAACCAGAAACAGTGAACAAATAGGGAAATTGAAATCATGCAAAAGACACAATATATGTTCTTTTCCTCTTCCTCCTATTGTTTCCGTTCTAAGATTCTTTTGGTTTTAGGTTTGTCTTAGCCCTCTCATAGTGTTATCACAGAAATACCATAAATGGACAACTTCAAGGAGCAGAAATGTATTTACTCACAGTTTAGGCAGTTAGAAATCTGAATTCAGGATGCCAGCTCTAGGACAATGCTTTCAATGTCTGTGGACCCAGTGTCCTTGGCGAGCCATGTGTCTGGCATCTGTCCCCCTGGGTCCCGGAGGTCTTCAGCTCCAGGACCCCAGCTCCAAAGGCTGTGCTCTGCTCTGGGTTCTTCGTTAGTGGTGCTATCAGGCTGCTCGCTCTCTGCTTGCTTCTTGCTCCTTTTATCTCTTGTAAATTAAAGGTGATGCCAGTAAAAGTCTATGTTATGGATTGAATTGTGTGGCCCCAACATATGTGTCAACTTGGCTGAGCCATGATTCTCATTATTCTGTGATTATTCTCCATTTTATGTTCTAGTGATATCCTGTGCGTTGTAAATTCTCACTTCTATGATGTTAATGAAGCAAAATTAGAAATAGTTATGTTAATGAGGCAGGAAACCGTCTGTAGGATTAAGTTATATTGTCAGTTAGTCTCTTTTAAGATATAAAAGGGATTAATTGGTGAGGAGAGGTAAGAGGGACCTATCTGCCACCAAAATGAAGAGCCAAGATTGATGCCAAAACACCTGGAGATTTCCAAGGAACACCAAGCCCACTTATGCGAAGAAGAGAAAGAGGGCTCTTTCCCCAGAGCAAACACAGAGAGAAAGCCTTCCCTTAGAGCCGACCCCTTGAATTTGGAATTCTAGCTCCTAAACTGAGAGAAAATAAATTGCTGATCGTTAAAGCCTTTCACTTACAGTATTTCTGTTATAGCAGCACTAGATAACTAAGACACTCCTCTTCCCATCGGAACAATGGGTCTGTCTCTTGAGTAGGATTGCACCCCACCCTAATTCTGCTTCATTGTTGTCACGGACTTACCTGATCCTCATTAACATAACCAAAGCATTAGTAATACATATGGTTGTTAGGTGCAGTCAAATCAGTTCTGAGTCATGTGCAACAGAACTAAATGAACAGTGTTCAACCCTGCCCCATCCTCACAATTGTCATGTTTGAGCCTATGGCCGCAGCCACTGTGCCAGTTATACATATGATATATTTATACATTGATATACATGCCATTAATACATAAAGGTCACGACTTGCAACACATCAGAAGATGGATACAGCACAAGAAGATAATTACATCGGATCACAAAATGGAGGGATGACTATATTATCACATAATTGACAATTGACAACATCATGTAATTGTCAAACTATATCATTATATAACTGCCAAACCACCGAGAATCATGACTTAGCCAAGTTGGTACATGTTTGGGGGAAGACACAACTGAATCCATGGCAGATTTGATAACAATTGTACTTGGTAAGCATGTAGCATTTTTTTTTTTTTTTAGTATGAAGAAACAGATGCAAAGAAAAAGAAACAGATGCTGTTTGAGGACCTTAAATCCTTACATTCTGTCATTTGGTATCAGACCAGTTAACTTTGCCATTTTAGGTTCAGTTCTATGGCAGCTGGCATTTGGACTTTCAAACATTACAGCCAAAAATAGATTTGCTGTTTGATTGCCATCCAGAGCAGGTTGTTACTATTTTTGGTGAGCACTGGACTTCTCCAAATCTAGCCAGCATACACACTGAGAGACCTAATGAACAAATGTCATTTATTACATAGAAGAAAAGGATCATTTGAGATATTAAGCAATTCCCAGTTGTTATCATTTTTAATACAATGGTTAGTGTGTTTTATCTTAAAATACAGTTTGTCCAGAAAAACTTACTTTAGCTAACCTGACATTTTAAATATATACAAATTCTAATTAGCTTTAAATTGTATTCTTCTGCTTTCAATTGGAGGTACATGTTACAAAGGGCCTAGTATATGTACTGGTTCCTCTTAGATTGGTATGAGAAATGTTACTGTAGGTTTAATTATTCTATTATTTTAGCCCCAGAAGAATCGTGTTTTAAAAATACAAGTGTAAGTTAAAAAGTATAGCTGCTGAGGTGCAGCTTATACATGCACAAGTTTATTCCAAACAAAACAAGCTTAAACATGGCTCTGTAATCAGTGATGGCTGCAAACAAATTCATTCAGTAACACACTTGTCTTAGTCTCGCTAGGGCACCTTCAAGAAAACAGCCCAGTGAAAACTAGCTTCCGAGGGAAGCTGCTGGACCAGTTAAATTCAAGGCAGAAAGATCAGCTCAGAAGATTATGGCAACTGTTTTGGGGATTCCAAAAGGATAGTCCTGATAGATTTTACAAAGGGCACGGGCTTATTATGAGGTTTTAAGAAAATTGAAAAACTGCATTGGTAAAGAAAAAAATGGGGCAAGTTGTACCAGGAATTTTTTCCCATCAAAACAGTACCCTTGCTTATTCTTCATGTGTAACAAGGGCTGTCCTACAAGAATTTCTCTCTTCTTTTTTTAAATCGTGTATTGGGTGAAGGTTTACAGAGCAGATTTGCTTCCAACGGTTCATAAGCGACTTGTTTCATGTCATTGACCGCAATCCCCACAATATGACGTTGCTCATCCCACTTCTTCCCTGTATTTTGTTTTTATTCTTTCCTTTTTCCTGTCCCTTCTGAACTTTGTCATTGTAAATGCTGCCAATTTGACCTCAAGTGGCTGATTATTCTAAGATGTGCATACCCCACTGGTGTCATTGCTCCCCATATCGACCCATTTATAGCTGACAATTGCGCCATGGGATGAGTTAATATCCAGACCTAAAGGATGACTAAGGGCCATCAGTTTGGAGGCTCTACCAGTCTCTATACAACACAAGCCTGGTCTTTTTGTGACTTAGGATTTTGTTCCACATTTTCTTCCATTCTGGCCAGGACTTTCTTCTGCAGTTCCCTTTCAGAGCAGTTGGAAGTGGTAGCCAGGCACCATCTAGTTCTGACGACAGGGTCTTGAAGACTAATGTTCGCTGGACTGTTTTCCATGCATCTTCACTTTTCTTCACTCTTCTGTACTCTGGATGGGGAGAGACCAATAGTTGCACCTCAAACGGCCACTCTCAAACTTTTAAGACCCCGACTGGTACTCACTGAAATAGGATATAGAACACTGTCTTTGTAGATGATATTATGCCTATGGCCTTGGTATTCTCTGAGATCAAATCCTGAGCTTCCAGACCTAGAAATTCATCCCTTTTAAGGTGTTTGGTTATGTATGTGCAAGAAATTTTCATTTTGTTCTCTGTAGGCTCC